CTCGCTATTACATCTTGTTTAAGGGTGTGGTTTAGTTTGCTATTAGCTGTAGATTGTTTGAAATATTGTACTATTTTTTTTACACCATTTATATTTATGGCTATTTCAGTTAAACAATTGTCAAAAATATAATGCATAATATTATTTAGTATATGGCATATACATGCAAGCATTTCGTCATCTTTGAATGCACTTATAAGATTTGCTCCGTTATCACTCACAACACATTTATTCAAGTATTTTCTACTTCTGTATATTCTCCTAAAATTGAATTGATTACACTTTTATTTTGACGTTTTTTTCATCCATTGCCCTTGTGGTCAAAACAAATGTTTTTAATTTAAAATCTTTAATGATAATATGCCCTATAATGGTTAAAAAACTTAGATATTTATAGTCATCCATCCAAATATCAGTGATTATGGACAAGTAATTATTATTGATCATGCTTTTAATTTTAAATTTTATTTCATGGTATATTTTTGAACCTATAGTATTCATGAGAGTTTTCCGGTTCACAACTTTTATATTTTGTTATCCGTATGTAACACCAACATTTATCTCTTGGCCTAGCTTGTAAAATCCTTCACTTGATGCATTTAAAGATTGAAGATCTTTATAAATAAAATATAACTGACTTTTCTGTAAAAAGTTTAAATTTAGCATAAAGTCTCGCGACAAAAACACCTAAACATAAAAAGAAAATAGAACTAACTAAATGATACCGGATGTTGTTTATAAAATGCGGAAGATTTTTAATTTTCATAAATTATTCTTTTTAAAAAAAGAACTAAATTAAATAAGAAAATATATAATATAATTATAAAATTGCAAATTTAAATTTATAAAAAAACAATTTAAAAAATTAAAATTTCCGTGATTCACGGGATATTTTTGTTCACGCCCGATCACGCCCGGGGAAAATTTTGGGAGGGCCCGTCACGCCTTGAAATTCGAAATTTATTCACACGCCGTGACCCACCGTGAGACGATGGGTCACGCCTAATTTCACGGCCCGCGCCCACCTCTACCTCTAATATCAAATTTTTGCAAAAAAAGCCTGATCTGGGTCTAAACCCCCATTATTAGCCTGATAACCATTGATTTCACATTAACCTTTACATAACCTTTTCATCTAAAATATTAGCGCTTATTAGAACTAATATAGGCATTGCAAGTCTTGACAAGGGTAATCAAGTACTATTAGTTGAGATTTCTCCTCATAAATATTTATAGAAGGGCTTTACATTTATTGCAGACTTTTTTGAAAAAAAAATTAGTTTTCACTTTTTTTTACTATTTAAAATGCTTTCTGTATGAAAAATTAATTTAGATTATAGTCTTCAGAGTTGTTAAACCCAACTTTTAAAGGTAGCGTTCTACCGCTATCTCCATTTGTCAAAAAGTAGCGCACTATTTGCTACTAATTTGTAAAAGTAGCTTTGGCTACTTTTTATAAAAAAAATTTTTTAAATATATTTGTTTTATTTTTTGTTTATAATGTAATTGCATAGTATATAATACATAAAAATCAACATTTATAAATATTTTATTATAGTTAGTTTTGATTATAAAACAATTTATGTAAAAAGACTATAATTTATGTAATAAAAAGAACTATTTATGAGAATATACATTTTTTTTTTAAATTTATTTTGTTGCATTTTAATAATAAATTTCTATACTATAATCTATAATCCCCAAATCTAGAGCGACGATCAGAAAGTATAAGATTTGCCTAAAATAATCTCTCAACACTAGCACTTGAATATTTTTAATATAAGAAAAATTATCAAAAATACTTATTTGTATTTTTAGATTTAAAAAACGCGTCTAGGGAATTTTCTATTATACTAGTATCCTTTATTTCAAAAAAATTATCAATGGATGTCGTTTTTATGGTTCTAACTAGGACCTTTGTCTGCTTTCCTAATCAGTTGTGTCTAGCGACAAAAAATTGTTGTAACAGAGTATAGAGTTTTAATCATGGTAAATGATGGATTATCAACCAATGACATTGGCTGAACTGTATCAATTATAAAATCGACAATAACTTTAGCAGCCAGTTTCTGAGAAATATTGGCATGTGCAATATTTATTAGTAATCAATTTATCATGAATTGAATTGGTATTTTTGCATGTAGTATCCCCTATAACAAAATTATTAGTTTAAACATATAAATTTCCACCTTTTGTTTTTATATTAATTTAAAAATATTTTCAAATTTTGGAAATCGAGAATTTTTATTATTGTTATCAAGGACATTTTCTTCCAGGGTAGCTTCCATTTCATTAATATCATAATTGTCTGACTCACTTACATCGATTTGGATATCCATTGCCATTGCATTTTAAATAATTTACATCAGATGATTTAGGTTTATAATACAAAATTGAAAATAGATATTACAAATTGAAGATATAAATTTCAATTACAAAATTAAATTTTGTTTCCTTTTTAGCTTTCACCTTTTCAGGTGGTAAGCTTGAAGTATGCTATCAAGGCCAAAGTATCTAGTATCTTGATCTCGCACCGCAGTATTATCGATACATATCCCACCAGAGTATTCTTATCGATTCCATACTCACGCCTAAGTATCAATCCCGATGGATCTCCCGCCGGAGTATCGTTATCAAGTCCATTGTATCTTGATAGACATTGAGCATGAACTGCCCCCGAGGTCACCATTATCCCAGCGCTGGCCACGAAATCGTTATCATCCTTTAATGACCCACGAGTTCAGCTGGCCGTCTTATTTGGTTTATTGGACAAGTATCCTATAGCACCTGGCTGTCTAAGCCTGTCGGTGACCGGGGTGGCATTTCTCAACTCAGAAATTCATTATATCATATGTCTATACACATCCGTCATCGAAGGAAAACTCGAAAATTTTTAGTTAGTTCCTTACCAGGATTGAATCTGGGACCTTCTGTTTCCAAGCCTACATCATACACCACTGGGCCACCCCGGCGACAATTACAAAATTAAATAAAAAATTGTAATTAATTATGATATTATATTTAAATTTTCATGTTTATAGTTACATTCATTCACTTTGTTCCAATTTTATTTTAATTTATAATTGCGCTTTTTATTTTTACTATAAAAGGGACTAATTTTTATGTTTATCTGAATAATATATTTTTAGTTTATAAATTTTTATAACTAATTTTTTTTTAACTTGATAAAATTTAAATAAAGTTTTTTTATAAAATACTTGTTCGTTTGATATTAAATAATTTGTGTTTTATTCTTGAATTTATCTTAAGTAGGTTTGTTTTAAAGTTAACATACCATGGCACACACACGCTCACAATGACTGACTGGCAAGGTGTCTCCTACTTTACTACCCTTAAATTAAGCCCCGTTACTTTAGAAACAAAACTATAATTAGAGAAGTATTAAGATAGGGACCATTTTATATTCAAAACTGTATTTACACATTCATAACTATCAGGTTTCTAATGAATAATAAAATAAAGGCAGTTATATTTAAATTATATTTCATCAAATAAGACATAATTATAGTGAATAATCAACCTGTTTTATTTACTAATGCATATCAAAATAAGAATATCAATATCAATATTTTTGAATATATTATTAATAAATTCTAGTGAAAATTAAACTGATCACATAAATCCAGCTTGTAATCTTTTTATAGGCATGTTTCTAACACATATTTCACCTAATTCGGAGACATTTTATACCCAGGCACCCATCTACGCTTAATATGGATTCAAACTTATATGGATCATAACCTTATATGTATCACAACCTAAAGCTGACTCATAAATTCTAGTTAACCTCCCTTGATGCATATCCATTTATTTTATGTTCTTCGTGCTTTGCTTATTTTTTCATGAACTTTTTAACTTAATATAATTTTTATTGGTTTTATCATAAATTTTTTATATAAATTATAAATGATTTAAAGGTGTATACTAAACATGCTGAAATATATTTTCAGCAGAATCATATTTTTAAATTTAAAAGAATTACCGACTCAAAAAATGATTTAAAGTTAAAAAAAATAACACATAGCAGGAAAAAAAACATTGACGCAACTGGATTGTAATTTTTTTTAAAATTCAATTTTAATCAATTGGAATAAATGATGTTGGAGTGTATTATACTAAGAAATACAATTTTAAAAAGATTCAGCTCTAATATATCCTGCCTATAATGGGAGTGCTCCACTTGTGCAAATATTTAAAATGAGAAAATCAACATTAAAGTTTAAAATCAAATATAGGAAAACCTTATTGATCAATTTTAACAGAGCTATAATTTTGGCAAAAATTAACATTTTTTCTAGTTTTTATTTATATATATATTGGGAATAAATAAGTTATTATCCACTTCTATCTCAAAAATTTTTAAAAATGTCGAGTGGAGCACTCCAATTCTAGACCGATGATATATTTATAAATTTCGGCCATATAAAATATTTATGACATTAATTATATGCAAACAATTATACTAATTTAATATTTATTTTATTTCTATAATAATAATTATAATTCAAAAATAATAAATATTTAAAATATTTGAAGCCCGCCACACCTTCAAATTTTTACACAGGTGTCGATGTGCTGAGATACCAAAACTTTTTGGTAGCTGAGTCAGCTTGATAAAAAATCCCCGCGGGAAAGAATTTTCGTGGCGTGCAAGCCTCATATTTTTTCTATAAATGGCTCTAGGCATTTTAGTAAGAGGTTATATTAACATACTTTTTTACATATCATTTGGTTTAGACGTTTGTTTCATTATAATGAATTAGAAATATTCCAAGGTGGAACAAAGTTTTAAAAAATATCTTAAAAAATATTTATCTAAAAAAAATGTTTTAAACATTAATTATAAAATAAAATACATCTTTGGCATGCATCCAAAAAAGTAAGAAATTATTTTTATAAAAAATGAATTTTTACCTTTTATTATAAGAGTATTATGATCTGAAAAATAGTCCAAAAAAATTTCAATTTTTTATAAAATATGTTTTGCATAATTATATTATAAATAGTAATATTTAAAAAAATTTTCACATCTTACAAATAATATTATTATTTAAATTCAAAAATCGATTTCTAACAAGGTAATTTAAAGATAAATAGTCGCATCGCATATTCGAGAAAAAAAGGTCTAATAGATTTATTTTATTTTATACATAAAAGATAAATATGCTAGAATATATCGTTAGACTGGATCCTAAACAGATTTCAACCAATTAATGTGTTATTAATTCCCCCCCCCCCCTCGGTGTAGCTAAACGGCTGGTTTTATTATCTCAACTTATGCTAACTTGCTTTTTTTCACACCTAAATACTTTGAACGATAATAACACTACTTAAATATAGTTTTGTAGTTCTCTATTTTTTAAAACTACTAACCCAATAGTTTAGGCAATAAATATTACTCAGGCCTAAAGATTTTGCTCATAAATAGCAAATTTAAAATTGGCTAGATCGAGCTGTTTAGCGACATTACTTAAATAATATCGAAAAAAGTAAATTGTTAAATAAATAAATTAAACTTCTAATTCGTGCCCCAAATAGGTATATGATAGTTTTATGAATTTTAAAATAATATTAATATTTATAAAATATAATCTTTCCCTTTTATTAAACATACTAACCCACATCCACACATGACATCTCCCTGTGTCTGATTATCTACCCTTGCCCCCTTGGCCCATATAAATAATAAAGGATAATTTTTAGTTGGAATTAAAAATTCGAATATGGATAAAAATATCCCAGAAAAAATACTCCAATTGTAGAAATTTGTTTTAAAAATATTCCCCTTTTAAGAGTTTAATATTTCTTGAAAAATTGTCGGGGTTATTTTCGTCAGGTCTCTTTAGATAAGAAATACATTCTATATTTGTACCCTCTTTCTAATTTATTTTTACTATGATTTGCACTATTCTAGCCTCTTTTAATCCTCAAAATATTTTTAGATATTCATCAACTTAGACGGGATAGACACAATTAGGCTGGGGTAGGGAGGGACACTACGGGTGAACATTAAATAAATATAAAACTCAAGCCGGGCAAGAGGAAAATAAAAAAGACCACGACTGATTTAGGACTACGATTTAATACAAAAAAATTAAATTGCTTTCTTAAAAAAATACATTTTGGATTTTTTAATCATCATGCGCTTTTATAATAATTCTCTATGAAACTATTAACACAACCCTGTAAAATGAGTTTCAAATAGAGCTAATACCGGCAAAGAACTAATTATCTGGCTTCTAAAAATCCGTAACGTGCCAAAAAAAAATTAAAAACCTGGCAGGTTCGGGCTGTAAAGATGGTAAAATTTAATGTCTTTTAGATAGATATTTTTGATTTATGATTTATTTATGTTGTATTTTGTAATAAATGCTTTTTAGTGCTCAAAGATTTTATCGTGTATTTTTTAAGTCGATATAAATTTTTGATGTTATTTTTTATTTATAAACCATATCATTAATATTTCAAAATTTATAAATAAGAATGCATATAAAAAACATATCAAAAACAACATTAAAATATTTTTTTTTAATAACAAGCAAAATAATTTCGTAGGTCATGTTTGGCATTCAACCATGAATTGATATCAGGTTAGATTTATTTACTTTTGAAGATATCCGTTATTTGAGAAAAAAACATTTGTTAGGGTTTAACAGTGGTTTAGCCACGGGGACCAAAAACCAAAAAAATCTTCCTTTTCTATAATATATATAAAAGCCTTGTCACATGACAGTCACACTTTCACAATTTATAATATATATATTTAAAAAATCGTTAATTTTGAAAAGTGTCTGTGGCCCAATCAGTAAGAGCATCGTTTTCAAATCTGATGGAAATAGGTTAGAATCCCAGCAAAGTTTTTTTTTCTTAATTGGCAAAATATTTTTTTTCTTCTTAATCTATCAAAATTAATCAAATAGATACGATTCAAAGTTTGTAGCTACTTTATAAATAGGCATTCTTATATTTTTAAATTTTTATTATACTTTTAAAAATGTTTGTCCAATAAAAATCACCATAGAATCATATCTTATCAATCATTCATTCACCTTCCATTACCATAAAACCATTACCATCTTATACATCATCATCATATATATATATATACTAGAATTGAATGATATATCTATAATATATATAAAAACCGTCACACTCTCAGTGTCAGTGTCACATCACAAAAATCGTGAATTTTGAAAAGTGTCTATGGCCTAATCGGTAAGAGCGTCGATTACAAATCTGATAGACTTAGGTTCGAATCTCAGCAATGATTATTTTTTTTCTTAACGGTGGTTCCGTCCTTTGAAATGTTAACTAAATTCCCATTGGATCTGAAAATGTTGTCATTCGCAGACCTCTGGTGGTAAATGCATGGGAAAATAAAAGTAGCAGACGCATATCATTTATAAATAGATTCTTTGGCAGAGGTAAAATCCATTATGATCTGCTGTTTCTGATGTCATCCTGATTAGAGGTCTGCAATGGGCAAGTTTTGGTACACCTGCCTGCTCATTTATTTAAAAATTTTGTTTAACTTGCCTGTCCAATGTATAAAAATTATTATAAAATCAAATTTAGATTTAAGATAATGGATCTGTTAATGAATACCAAGGCAAAATAAACAAGGACGTTTTCCTCCTGCTGAATCCTTTTGTCAGAATCTATAACATGTGGGCTGAATAAAGAAGTTTTAATGTTACAGTATGTCTCTAGGAATTTTGAATAAACAAGAAATTTGCGATAAAAACAATTTATGAAATGTTCACAAAATTTGCTATTGAAAGCATTATTTAAGTCTACTTTGATAATAGCCATGTTAGGAGGAGGATTTTGGAATATAAATGGCATGTGAAGCTATGACTTCTCCCTTAACACCAAATCCTAATTGATAAGTATACTTAATAAAGACCCTGGGTTTTGACCCGTGGCAATTATTTTTGCTATTAATCTTCTAAATAGCCCATTGATATGGGGTGGATACCACCACAGTGTTTGTGAGATAATCAGGCTTGCCCCAATGATTGATTCGAATCTATTATAGCAGGTATTTTTTAAAAGAGTATTTAGGAAGGTTTTAAAAGCATTTAAATAATTCTTTGAGAAGAATGTAGATTATAGGAAGTGAGAGAACAAAAACCATTGCGTCTGGTTGTAGTAAATTTCTTAAAAGAATTGATAAATATCATACCTCACAAAACATATTTTTTTTATTCCATATTTTTCATAATATATTTAACCTTTTTTCTAAAAATCTATAGAAATCTTGGAAGGATGAATACGGATAATCTATTCGATTCATCCATCGTCAAATGAAGGTAAAATTTATAATTTATCCATACGGAGAAAATTCTGATTACCCGTTATTCTTGACGGGTAATCAGCTAGTATTCAAATAAATGTCTTAACAAACAATTAATATAAATTTAGTTTAATATAATTCTAAATATTAAAATTTTCTGTTGTGGAAGGATATTAAATTATAGAATTATATCAATTATTCAGTATAAAGTTATTTTTTATTAAAGTTTTTGTTAATAAAATCTTGTAAATTATAATTAAATAGTATTGATACCTGTTCTAAAAATATATTTGCTGTTTCTTATCGAAGATATAGAATAATTATATAAAATGAAATAGAGCATACTCTGCAATCTGATTTTCATATTTTTACCATAATACCACTATTAAATTACATTCATAATCAAAATGATATATTTGGTTTATATTTTGTAGCATCTTTATCAAAAAATTATTAATTAAAGACGAATATAAAATATGGCAGCAATACTACTAATTATACAAAATTTTATTAAATCTCATGACAACCACAAAAAAGGCGCAAAAGTAAAGGTTTCCTATTTTATCATTTTTATTTATAATACCGCGAAATTTAATAACATAGACTCAAATTTATATGACGGGTCTTTATTTTATAATTTGTAATCAATGTTTGAAAAAGATTCTTTGTGTAATATTTTATTAGTTGGTGTATAAAAATTTAACCCCTGTCAAACAACCGAATATGGTCAGCTGAAAGGGATAAATTAAATATCTTCTGTATACATTTAGGGCACACTTAATATACTCTCAGAATTTTCTAATTTTAAGCTTATTTCTTGAAAATTACATTAAATTTAGTTAATCCTTTAAATTAAATTTTTACTGTTTCTGATGTCATATCTAACAATTATTGGTATCAAATAATTTATGCTTGTGCTTTAAATCCTTTATACTAAATAATTTATGTTTGGTGGCATATTTAATTATGAGTGATTGTTATCATATAATTTTTGCCTATGTCATATTTAACAATCATATCTTTATAATACCTTAACCTAACTATACATATTTATATTGGTGGGTTTACAATAACTTTAAAAACAGGAACTAAGTCATGTAATATACTTTTGACTTTGAGTAATTCAACTTCATTCATCATTAAGAAAGTTTATAGATCATTAATATTATATGATGCACAAAGTAATACAATATTGTTTCGTTATATATTTGACATAAAATTATGCATATGAAATTAAGGTTTTTGTATAATTTTTTTTAAAATATGTTAAATATTTACTTCTATTTTATATAGTGGCTTAGATAAGAATTTTCTTTAAGGGGGTGGGTACAAAGCCTGGGAAGGCTTCTTTCCCCAAATCTCCCGCCCGTTAAAATTTAGAAATATTTTTTTTCATTTTAATTAAAGAACATATATAATAATTTTTATTATATTAATATTTCAAATTAGTAGGTTTTTTTTAAAACTATTTTATAGAGGTAAAAGATTATTTCCCTCGGTATGAGGAATATATGTTGTATTCTATACTGAAGCAAATATATATAAGTAGTTTTATACATTCCTCTCATATTTTTTAAAAGGCTTCTATATTTAAATAAGTTGTTACTTTATTTATAATTAAAACTAACTGATCAATGAATGTGGTTGGTTGATTCTAAATAAAGAAATCAATTTATTAATAAAATATGATCAATTATATTTAATAATTTATTACACATAATATAAATTCCATTTATTTTTTTATTTTTTTCTATTATAATAATTATTAATATATTTATCATAATATTTATTTGAATTTTTTAATGTATATATAATAATACTTTGGCTTTGTTTGTAAAATGCCGAATTTTGGTGCCAAGATTTTTTTAAAAACTTATAAGTTAATGACAAAAAATGGCCATTTGTGTAAGTAACTATTGGAATAAATATGAAGTTGTTAAGATTTTTGTATATATTGTCTTTTTCTATTCCCAAATGTAAAAACGCACTTAGTATTAGTATTACCAAATCCCCAACCTTAGGGCTTGGTGCTAAAAACGATCTATTGTAATAGTTTTTAATATCTTAACAAATCCATTTTATTTTGGCATCTCGTTTTACAAATATAATATACCAGATGATATTTGATAATTATTTTTTGCTAACTTTACCAATTATAAATATATCAAAGCTTTAGCCAAAATTTTAAAATAAAAGTTAAACAGTGTTTAATAAATGTTTCTTTATTTTTCGTTCTCTGAATCATGATCTAATTTTATAAATCTTTTTATTTTGCTAATAACTTTTTTATTTATATTATTTATTAAAAGATTAGTCATTAAATTAAATCAAAAATATTTATTTTACATAAAAAATTCAATATAAAATTGATAAATTTAGATATATTTAATAAAATTTCCAAGGTCCGACCCGACCCGGCCAGAAATTTTTTTAAAAATATTAGGCCCGGCCCGGCCCGAACCCGATTATTTTAAATAGAATTAGGCCCGAGCCCGGCCCAAAGCCCGTTCGGACCGAGATACGGGTCGGGCCTAACTTTGCAGATCTCTAATATTACCTAAGCATTACATATTGGTCTAATCTTTAAAATTAGGCTTTCCAAGGTTTGGCAAACAGATTCATAACAAATGAAAATTGACTCGAAAATGAGATTTTAAAATTTTATTTTGATTCTATTTAATATACCAAAAAGAATATATCATACTTATAAAGTTCGTTGAATCATAAGATTCAAAAATATTTTGATTCCGATATTTAAAACTCAGCCTAAGACATGCAGTTGTATTTTTTATTTAGCTTATATGGTTCCTACCTGTTTATTGACTGGAGAAAAACTAATTGATGAATGTAAGATCTAATCAGGCATTACATATAGTCTAGAATTAAATATTTACCTAGTCTACCATATGGATTAGTAGGATATGAGCACCAAACTTTGAAAGAAATTTCTGAATAAATGTTCTCACTAGATTTTAAGTGTACTAAGTGGCGTAGCCAGGATTGATCCATGGGAGGGGGGGGGAGGTTAAAATGGATGTGTTTTATTTGTGACACTAACCACTATGGCAGCCAGCATAAATGAATAAAAATATTAGTAACAAAATTTTGGCCTAATTGATTAATACGCGACTGAAAGCATTATTCTGAAAATTTTATCAATGTTTAGTCAATTGTAAATTAATTCAATCCATTCGGTGTAAAAAGAAGAACAAAATCGCCCCCCCCCAACCTCCCATTTTTTATGATCACTCATATCTTATTCTATGTTAAAAATAATTATTTTAATTAAATTTTTGCATATAACAAATTTTGCAGAGAATTTCATTATAGATTTTATTTATTATTATACAATAAAATAAATTTCAAAATGTATAAATTTTATACAGAATATTAAAAATTTTTTCTAAATAACTATATTTAAAAAAAATAGAATTACAATAATACGAATAATTCTTGTGCGGTATTTAAAAAAAAATCTAATTTAACAATTATAATATAATTAATACAAATGAGTATATTAATAAAACATAAATAATTCTTATTAGAGATCCGCAAAAGTAGGAAAATCGGGATAGGGCTGGGTGGCCTAATATTTAAAAAAAAAATTCTGACCGGATTGGGTCGGGCCTTGGAATTTTTTTAAAATATATCTAAATATATCAATTTTATGTTAAATTTTTATGTGAAATAAAAATATTTGATTTAATTTATAAAAACTAGACGCCATATAACATATATCTTTTATTTTGAGTAATTATAAACATGAATTTCTATATTTAAATAAATTCGGGCGTTATTTCTTAAATAGTTTTTTAACCTTTTCAAAGTTGAAAAAGACCTTTCATTAGTCGGTAAGGTGCCAAAATAAAAAGCAATGTTTTGATATTATGCAGGGAATCTAAAGTGCAATTATACATGGAAAGGGCCTCCAAATTTGTCTCAAAGAGTAATCTATTCTGTCAAAATTTTTATACCAAAATTCTACATCACAAAGTAACTTATCATACGATCCTGATAATTCATCAGAATAAAACTCTGAGATTTTCTTAATATCCTCTTGCGTTTCAAGTGTATTTAGGCTCAACCGCCAAAAGAAAATAAAAGTTGCTGTGACTAATAAATCTTTCCTTTAATTGAAATAAAAATGTATCAATAGGGAAAATATTTATTTTATAAAAATCCTCAATCGTAGATGCATCAATATTTAAGCGATTGGACTATCTAGAAACTACTTTAGGTTTAAAATTTTTAATCCCAAACATTAGCGATCACCTTTACTTTCTCATTATATTTACCAAATTAAATGATTTTTCTTTTATTTAAAATATAAAAAATTAATTAAAATTTTTAAACTAACTAATTAGTTTAACAATATAAATTTTATTATTAAATATATAAATATCTAATTTAACTATGATAGAAAAAATTTACAATATATTTTATATTTTTATTGTTATTTAATATTTTATATATAATTTTTAAACCATGTTATCATTTAAAATTGAAAATTCTCATTTGTTTTTGTAAATATATTTCATTTTCATATCGTATATAATTTTATTTATAAATTGAAACCATTTTTTGGGTTTGACTAAACTGCAAATGCCAAGGTAAACTGCAAATGCTTACGTAAAATTTTTTATATATATTCTATTAATTGGAGTAAGATTAATTTTCTTATGAAATGTATAAATTATAAAAATTATATTATTAATCAATAAAAAATGAATAGATATTAATATTTGTATTTCCTTTTATCTCATAATAAATAGTTTAAATCCTTTAATATAAATAAATTAAAATAATTATAATTACATTTTAAATTTCACTAATATTAAATAAGCAAGTTGGCGTATTATTATTTTAGGCAAAAAAAAATTAGAAATTTTCTTTGTTTTAGTATATTTTAAAATCATATTATATTATTATTTATAAAGGTGTTTGACGCGTTTAAAATGTTTGACTAAACTGCAAATGCTAAGTTAAATTGCAAATGCTTAGGTAAAATTTTTTGACATATTCTCTATTAATTGGAGTGTGTTCATTTTCCTATGATATGAATAACTTATAAAAATTATATTATTAGATATAATCAATAATAAATGAATAGATATTAATAGTTGTATTTTCTTTTATCTCAATAAATATTTAAATCTATAAATATAATTATCTTAAAAAAAGTATTATAATAACATTTTAAATTACAATAATATAAAATCCGCCAGGTGGCATATTATTATTTAATATTTTTTCATGAAATAATATGCCAACTTGCGGATTTAATATTAATGTAATTATAATTATTTTTAATTTAATTATACTAAAGGATTTAAACTCATTATTATGAGATAAAAGGAAATACAACTATTAATGTCTATTCATTTATTATTGAAAGATTATAATTTTTTATAAGTTATTTATGGAATAAGAAAATGAATCTCGCTCCAATTAAGAGAGAATATAACAAAAATTTTTACCTAAGCATTTGCAGTTTACCTTGGCATTTATAGTTTAGTCAAACCGCCATTTTTTAAATAAAATTATTCGCAATAAGAAAAAAATTAAAAAAATAATTTTTTTTCGGAGGTTATGGGGGTTGGGGGGTTCAACCCCAAACTCCCCCCTCCTTTCTCTACGCCACTGATTTTAAGGTTGACAAATAACACTTTTGCAGATAATTATTTCCTTCATTCAGGTTATTTATTAAAGCACACATAAGGAACTAATAAAACACAAAAATGAACATAAATTTTATAATTAGCCTTCCAATTTATTTTAAAGAGATGATATGAAGGCATTACATAAATTTTAAAAAAGCAATATAATAATAACCACGAGAAAATCAAATATACCTTAACTTAATTTTTAATAAGAACTCAGTTTTTATTAAAGCTATTTTAAACTATAGGAACAATTATTTCAGTTTAAATAATGGTGTAGATAATTAATTTTAACATATGAGAAGTGATTTTTCCCTATTTTTAGTTTTTATGCTAAAATCCTTTTAAAACCTAAAAAAATAATTATTATATTTACCCCACACTAATTTTCCAAAAAATAAATATTTTTACATAAATTATTCAAAGAAAGATCAATTATAAATTTCAAACGCAAGTTTACATTTTCTCTTCACCCAATATATGAGCCATTACCTTACAAGCCGAGAATATGACATCAAAAGAAAAATCTTTAAAAAATATCCCAAGCATGGTAATATATTGACTGCTATGTTAATCTTAAAATTAATTTTTATTTTATTTCCTTTTTGAATATTCAATAGCCAGAAAAAAGTGAAGATTTAGGAATGAGCCAAGACATCAGCGAAAAGAACTATCGAGGCCAATGGGGCAACCATGCAGAATTTATTTTATCTATCATAGGTTATTCTATCGGTTTCGGAAATGTCTGGAGATTCCCCTACGTGTGTTATGATAATGGTGGAGGTTTTTTTTTCAATTAAATAAATATAAAACATGAATGATTTGCTTTTTCTTTAAGTTGTTTAGTTTGATCCATTTGAGATCGATTTATTTTACCAAAAATAAAAATATTAAGTATAAGTATATTAATTGATTTTTCCCATTTAGTTAGAAAATTCTTCTTATTTGAAAAATAAATTTTGTTATTTAATCTTTTTCTAGTGATCAGCATCGGGCCTAATTTTTCAAGCCCAGCCCGGCCCGAAGTTTTTTTAAAAAGTTTTCCCGGCCCGGCCCGGCCCGGCCCGAACCCGAAATTTATTTTTAAAAAATTTACCGGCCAGGCCAGGCCCGAATTTATTTAAATATAGAAATTAATTTTTATAATTACTTAAAATAAAAGACATATGTTATATAGCGTTTAGTTTCAATAAATTAAATCAAAAATTTTTATTTTACATAAAAAATTCCATACAAAATTGATAAGTTTAGATATATTTAATAAAATTTCCAAGGTCCGACCTGACCCGGCCCGAATTTTTTTTAAAAATATTAGGCCCGGCCCGGCCCGAACCTGATTATTTTAAATAGAATTAGGCCCAAGCCCGGCCCAAAACCCGCTCGGGCCCGGCCGGACTCGGGCCGGGTACGGGCCGGGCCTAACTTTGCAGATCTCTAGTAATTGTTATAAAAATGCTAAAAAAAAAATTTTGCAATCCCCTCCCCCTTCCTCCTCTACAATCCCTATATATCCGGATTATGTTGTTAAATAATAAGGAACATTTTGAAATAAATATTTAATAATATACTTGGAGTTAGCAATTTTTTTAAAAATACATTTATTTGTTTCCAATATAGTATAAATTATAACGTTAAAACAAATATATAAATATATAAGTGTGGGTTAAATGGGCCTAAAAAACATTATTTATAAAACAAATTAAATATTAAATAGACCAATAAGGGCATTTCAAAAATTTTAAAAAAATGAATAATTATAATAAGGTGCTGTAATTCGAAAAAATAAAGTAAACCCTTTATTTTTAAATTCTATAAAGGGTTCGGGTACAGTATTACAAACGAACTCCTTTATTTGTTATCGCGTCATTTGCAGATTGCTCCAGTGGTACCGCTGCATTTTAATTAAATATCTAGTCGAATTTGAAAGTTGGGATCAAGTTCTCTATATAAATTATAATTTGTAGAATCATTGATATAATCATAATTCAAAAAAGAAATACTATTGACTCAAGACAAAATGGATCAAAAGATAATAATTTGAGAAAAGCCTATTTTTTTTCTCATGTCTACCAAAATCATATTCCACATCTTATAGAAAAAATCTATGACATGTGCATTGTATATAAAGACATATTTTGACCAAATTTTAGGTTAAAGATTTTATGAGTTAAAAAAAATTAGACTATATAGTTTTACCTCCCCTGCGGGGCCCCACTCTCCCCTAATTTTTAATCGCTGTTAATATGTGTATTAGCAAACTAAAATCGTAAAAAGAATAACAAAATTTTTGGACTGAAAATATTTAACATTGCATAACTCCGAGACCGAGTATAGTTTTAGGTTTATAGCCCGGTTTTCCAATTTTTGGAGTCGGCTAAAAATTTATTAATCAAATATAACATCATTAAATATGTGCTAAAAAAATTTCTACGAAAAATAAATTTTTTGTGCATAATTTATAATATAAAAATTATTGATTATAAAAAATTATATCCCTATAGTTAAAATACTGAAAATATAATTAATGCACAAAAATTTTCTAAGAATTACATTTATATAAATTAGCAAGGTATTTATGAGTAAATATGTACAATCTACTTATTGATCTAATTCATCAATGATTTCACAGTATTTGCTTTAAATTACTATTAGAAGGGCTAACCCATTCAATCAATTATGAGGTAGACAACTTCCTAGAAAGTTTTTATTCTTCTTAAGGATAAAATATTCTTTTATTTATGAGGAGCGCTTGTTGAATCAAATAGCTTTCACAAACAAAGAATCCAAAGTGGACAAGAGATTTATTATTACTCTTCTAACATTAATATTTGAACGAATAGCGTGTCTTTCTAGCAAATCAACCATCCATAATTTATGAAATCCCTCATCAACTTAGCTAATTTATTTAAGGTTGGCATAATCTGCGATTTTCATGTTTTCATAAATTACTAGTGTATTAAAATAATTTGGTCTAAATATTTTTAATTTTATCAAGTCCAATAAAGGATTTTCTTCAGAGAAAATGTCTTTTTCTGATCCTTTTGCCATTTTTCTAAGAGCATTTATAATAAGCTTATCTAACTTCATAAAATAATGGCTATTTAATGTTGAAAGCTTTTATAAAAAATTTAATATTTACATTTTTTGATTTTGGGAAGCAATCCCGCCACCCCTTCCCATTCCTGGCAACGCACCTGACTTGTTGAACAAGAAAGCATATAAAATATCAAAGATTTAATAATATAATTTGATTATTAATATAAATTATGAAAATTTTTAATCCCAATCACGATAATTTTCTTTTTATTTATTTTATCAAAGATCATTATATTACTGACCAAATTCACGATAAAAATCAAATTTACTTTCAAATATTCAAATATTCAAATAACCAAAATCTTTATATTTATAAAACATTTAGGAGCTTTTCTCATTCCATACATCATAATGCTCTTCTTGATAGGGAAGCCTTTGTACTTCCTGGAATTAGCTCTAGGTCAATTTACTAGGCAAGGACCTCCAGGTGCTTTTAAATTAGCTCCAATAACTATGGGTAAACAAGAAATTAAACAGCTTTATACCAATAGAAATTATGACAACTGTTTAAATTTTTAAAAGGAATCGGCTATGCTATGTTATTAACTTGTTTAATTATTTGTGTGTACTACAATGTTCTGATGGTCTACACGCTCTATTATACTTTTGCCTCTTTTCAAAGGCATCTTCCCTGGACACATTGCAACAACGTAAGCATAATAATATATTCCATTTAATATTGAAAAGTTTACTTAGTTGGCACATTTGTATGTAGATTTTAATAAAAACTTACTGACTTTTTAGTATTTCTCTTTTAGCAACAATTATTGATTAAGATTCATAATAACCGGTTCACAATTAATCCTTATATCTTTAAAAAGGTATTAAGCTTAATTTTTACAATGTGAAGTTAATAAACACTTATAAGTTTATTCACTGTTACGCCTAGTTTTGTGGATATTAAAAAATATTAATATTTTTAAATGAATTTAAAATAAAATTAAGATAAGTACTCTTAACATGCTGGATTACATTTTCGCCAAATGATATTTTGGCAAAATGCTTTCCCTTTCGTTTTAAATATCTTTGGATATAATAGAGCTAGAATCTTCATTTAAATGTATTTATATTAAAAATTGGGTTTTAAAGTGGCATAATGTTAAATATTGTTAAAAATTTAAAATGTCATAAATCGGAAATGACCTAATATCAAATTGGATTATTTTTATCTCAAATTATTTTATGAATAATTTTAAGATTAATAAATAAATATTCAAATTTTCAAGTTGAGCCCCCTTTAACTATCTATTGGACCGATATCTCTCAAAATTGGTCTAAATGTGTATATTATGATATGTACCTTACCTAAGTTCATTTATAGAATAGAGCATTCCAATAAAAAAATATTTTAAATAAACTGTTTTTAGTATTTCTGGAAAGCTTAATAATAAAAGAGAGGTTAGTAGTATAGTCTGGCCATGTATTGATTGGCCACAATTTGCACATTCACATATTCATATTGAAATGAAAAGCTCGTGCAAAACAACATTTGGTGTTATTTCAAATAACTAACAAGCTTAAGAATGTTTAGCAAAAAGATAATTAAGATATTAATTTATAATATTAACATTAAATAGATGGTGATAAATTGAGATATTAATTTATAATATTATCATTAAATAGATGGTGATAAATTGAGATATTAATACTAATTAAATTAGTGTATAATTAATAATTTATATAACTAAAAAATGTAGAAATATTAATATTGGTCTTTTACAAGTATTTCATATTTATAAAAAATTCTTAAATAATATATTATGGTCAGTTAAGACATACACATAGAGCTTTGATTCAAATTTTATTTTAAAGATTTATAATTAGGCTATACATTAATATATAAAATTTGATAGGTTAAATCCAAATTTTATTTTTTAAAAAAGCAATAAATGGTTATTCATGGCACATTTCCCCTATTTAAAAAACGGTATTTAAGATCTGAAGAAGTTTTTGGAAGGAAGAGAGGGCTTTGGTTAATACATTTGATGAATTAAAAATTTTCCCCTAATAAAAATAACTACTAAATAAATCATGTATAATAAATTTAATAGAAGATGAAGAAACTAAGTACGGCATAATCGCATACAATTGAGAGTTTTCTTGTTTATATTTAGAAGATTAAAGGTATTCATTGTTTGATGATGAGGAAATGAGATATTTAAAATTGAAAGCTGCATGTGAGAAATATTTATGATATTTCAGATAGGTTTAATTTGATTTTGGTTAAATAATTTGAATCAAAATTCTTGAGTTATATAAGTTTTTATATTGCTCTTTAATAACATATTCCAATTTATAAGATATTTGTCTCTTATGTTTTATATAGGAAATTTTATTTAAACAAACCATATAATTAAGTTTTACTATATATGGAGCCAGTCATTCTTGGGGGTTAGCTGCAATCTGAATCGCTCGTCATTTTTGACGGGTTAGCTGCTAGTAATATTATATTTTTCCACAAAAAATACAATTTTTATTAATATAATAAATTTTAAAAATATACAGCAATAATAATTTACAATAGTATTAGGAATTTTAATATAAGTTTTATTAAAAAAAGGGTTGGAGACATCAAGAAATCAGCCAAAAAAGGGGGTGCTAAGCAAGGATAAATAATAACCCTACCCTAATGTTGTACAAAAGTTAAAGATGTGCAATATCAACTAAGTTATAATGACCATCATATTTTATTTTTCAAAATATTTTTTCTTCTTAACAAATATATATATTCCATCCAGTCTTTCAATACGAAAAGTTGTTACGACGTCAGAACATATCGAAATCATACCAATCAAACGCCCTTAACGGCTTCTAACTTAACTCGCATTTCTAATAGTTGGACGAACAATAACGTTACCAATTTAACTGGTTTTACTAAGCCCTCTGATTTAACTGGCCTTTCCAATTTTACCCATTTAATCGAGGGAAATTCCACATCTATGATTAATCTGTCTGCAGCCATATCTAGAGCGTCGTCTATGGAAGAATTCTGGAAGTTTTCTAATGATTATTTATATATAATATTTTTGAAAACGGTATAAATTATATTTTCCTTATTTCTGATCCTCCAAAATCCTCTTTTACTTTTAGATTAATTCTCCGCATAACTCCCTCTTCTCAATTTTTTTTAACAGAACTTTATAAATGTAGAACGGGGACACTTGTCATATGTGAATTTATAGAATGTACAAAAATAAATCAATGCAGAAATATAACTAAATAAAAATGCATAAATATAAATAATTTGCTTTTTTTAGATCTAAAAATTATGATATCTTATAGAATAAAAGTATTAGGGATAGACAGATCTACTGGTATTGATGATCCAGGTTCCATAAAATGGGATTTAGCTTTGACACTTTTTCTATCTTGGGCCATCGTATTTGGTATGCTTTTCAAAGGAATTCAGACATCCGGAAAAGTTTGAGTTTAACATTCAAATATTCAGAAAGAATGAGAATGAATTTATAAGATATTTGATTTTTAACCAAGATTTTAATTTATCTTTAAAAAAAATAAAAGAAGCGCATGTGAAAGTTTCTTATTTAAGAAAAATATTTTTCTTAATGAAAATTTTACCTTCAATTTTTTTTAAAAATTATTAAAAAGGTTATATACGTTACCGCGACCCTCCCTTATTTGCTCCTAACTATCTTACTTATTAAGGGAAGCACTCTTAATGGAGCACGGGATGGAATATTATACCTATTTAATCCACAATGGCGCAAGCTATTAAATATTAAAGTAATATGAATGAATTAAAAATATAGCCTACATATCAAATTATCCATTTTAATTAAACAAAATATTTATCATGATTTATAAATATACCCTAAATTTTAAGTAGTTATCAGAAGCAAAATTCTAAATATGAATACAATTAAATCTTTAAAAAAAATGAAGTGTTTAAGGGGGATTGTTTTCTTAATTATTTTTCTATTTTATAAAACTTTAAGGTCTGGAGGGCCGCCTGTGCCCAGATATTTTATTCTCTGAGTTTAGCTATGGGGGGTATAACCACGTTTTCCAGTTTCAACCCCTTCCATAACAACTGTTACAAGGATGCTATGATAGTGAGCATAATGGATACAGTTACAAGTATGATGGCGGGAATCGTCATCTTTTCTTACTTAGGAAATATGGTTCAGGAGTTGAATATTACATTAGAAGAAGGCGTTAAAACTATATCAGGTTTCGGAAATCAACCAATTTTATTTAGGCTATATTACTTGATTTTATTTATATTAAATGTCAATTATCCGGAAAAATCTTCTCGAGGTTATTCAGTGAGTTTATTGATTTGGGAGTCTAGGTTTTTGAAAAATTACAGGGCCAGTTTAAATGGTGTGGTGGATATGATTGGTAAGAAGGTTAGATCTTTAAATTTTCTTTTGTGATTTAATGTTGTTTTATTTATTGAATTTGAAAGCTTGGTTGGAGTAATAACTATATATAAAAATTTTATATTAAGAAAAGAAGACATTAAAACAAACTGTCATATAAAAAAAATGTATTTTCATTTTCTATGAAAAGTAGGAATATATTTCTTATGATAACGCTAATATAAATGATTTTATTTGAAATTTCAAAAATTTGAAACTTGAGAAATTTGAAACTTGAGAAATTTAAAATTGGATTCATCAAATCTTTATAAATACATATACTTATGCATTTTTGAAATTAAAAACAAAAAAGAGGTATAATAAAATATATAAAAATTGAAGGTTTAAATTAAGCCAAGTTCTTAATTTCAGCTGACAGAATTTCAAACATTTCGAACTTGTTGCAAATAAATAGTTAACCTTGTTTTGCATATATTATGAAATTTACACAAATGTAAACATGTCTAAAATTAATTAAAATATAAGATTCCTGTAAAGAAAACTATCTAAGAAATAATCACATATTTATCTCCCAATGCGTAAAAAGAGTACTTGCCTTATCAACATATATCTTTCCTTTAGAGATGATCGATTTTCATGACCCCTTCAAGAAGGATGTGAAGTCAAATGCCTTTAAATCTTATCAACGCATCAAATAGCATTCGCTTTCTAACCCTTCAGATTCATAATTAACCTATTTACATATAAACCGAATAAGCTGACCCATCTTGATTAACCACACTTATCACTTATTTTTTGCAATCACATAAATTTTTATACTCTCTCATATTCCAAAATCGTCCCTTTAGTGTCTCATTCATTATCTAACTTCCTGTATAACCCTAACATTGATTTTGACCCATTCACAATGTAATCTCAATTCTTATTTTACGCATTTATTTAACATTTCTAAATATAAATTATCAAATATTTTATCATGTATCTGCCGTTAATAACTATAAAAACCTCAGGTTATCCATTCATGCCTCTAATCAAATTTCAATTGACATAAAAGCCAAATAACGATCAAAAAAATTAATTAGAAGGAAACCCTGATAATGGCAAAGTCTAACCATTATAATAATCCCTATGGCAATACTTTACTTTAACTCAAATTTAAATATCCTTAAGGATCTTCCTCCGTACGCAATACATTCATATATTTTTTAATAACTTTTTAGTAAATGATGGAAAATTAATTTAATAATTAAAGATTAACAAATATTTTATCTTAAAATCTAAAACCATTTTCTGATCATTTTTTATATTTTTCTGAGTCATTTATTTTAAAATCTTAGCACTTCAGTTTTATACTTGTGGATTTGGTAATTTTTCTGAACAATTACGTTTTAAATATTTCTGAGTATTCAATATTTATTCTGAACGTTTAAGGATTTTTTATTTGAGCATTTCAGTTTTAAATCTGAACGATTAAATAGAAGCCTTTATTAAATACATATTACGATAATATTCTGACAATGCCAAGATTTTAAAATAAATGAATAAAAATTTAATTATTAATTATGAGATCTAAATATTTTATAAAAAAATAAAAAATGAAATCATATATGATAAATGAATGAATTGAAATTTTAAAAAAATGCATTTGTTTTCTATTATGCCTGTGCATGGTAAGCCATGAGATATAAAAAATTAATATGTTAAAGAAAAATATAAAAAGAACAATAAATATTTTCGTTTAAATTTTGATAATTATAATGAGAATTCATATTTTTTAAAAAAATATATGAGAGGAATAAAACAGAAAAGTTATTAACAATGTCCGCTCTCAAGGTGCCCATTATTTAAATAATTTAACCTATTCGCTCATTTCAAATAAGCAGACAAATGTGAGCGGGCTAGTTAACCGCTTATTGTGGACCTCTAACTTTGTTCCTGCCCAACATAACTCTTGTTCCCCTCGAAACTCTTCAAAGTTAGCAAAACCTTTGGAAATGGGGTTTATTCTCAAATTATATAAATGTGGAAATATGTATTTTAACTTCTTACTGCCCCCTGGGGCTTCTTTACAAAATTATCTAAGACATTTTTTACAAGTATTTCCAAAGTTCACATTCCTTCTTTTTAGTAAAACCCTCTGCTTGTCAAAATTAATTTACTTCCTCTCGAATTTATTTTAATTTAGACTTATCAGTAAACCATAAACATAAAATTAAGTAAACTTCAAAGAAAATCTCAACTTTGCATTCTTCACATTATCTTGATCCCAAGTATCTCTCTCAGAAAAATTTTATTTTTCCTGAAACTCTGGAATCTAAATGGTTCATCATATAACCATTTCATATCTCCAAAAAAATTAAGCATTTAAATTAAACTACGACCTGATTACAATATGTTTTATCCTTTATCTATTCTCTTTGTAATAATCAATAGATAAAAATAGGCATCATCATGGATATCATCCTATTTATTTTTCAAATTATTTTTGTGTATAATAGTATTATAGTTATTTTAGTTCTTTGATATATTTTTTAATTATAATTCATTTTTTTAAAAATAAATATATAAATATTTTTGTGACTTATGCCATATTCATTTTACCATGATATAGAAATAAATTAAATTTTTACAGATACAATTTTTGTCTAACTTTAAATAATTTTTTCTTTACTCTATACAAACCATACTAAGGTCCCGGTTTAGTCTTTATAGTGTATCCACGGGCCGTTTCCGGTCTTCCAATACCTCAGTTATGGTCCGTCCTTTTTTTCGTCATGCTTTACAGCCTGGGTTTGGATAGTTCGGTTGCTTTAATTTCCACCTTAACCAGCGCGATTCACGATCAACTCCCCAAATTTTTTCCTTGGAAACACAAGACTTACCTATGTTTGGCTTTATGTTTTATTTGCTTCTTACTTGGATTGCCATTTATAACTTACGTATGTTTTTATTTGATTCAACAAATATATTTAAAAACAATATTATTTATTAATTCTACTCTCTAATCTATATGCTTAATATAAATATAAGGATTATCTATTACATTGAATACGATATGTATTCGTTCAGCATCGCCCTTGGACTATTTATATATTCCTCGATGGATTAATATTGATCCATTTAAGATTTTTATAAAGGATATCCGACTTTATTCCATTATATTAATCCCTTTAGCTTTATAAATATTTTTTAAATCGGTCTTTATCCGTTTAAGGAATATCGATATATAAAGATACAATAAAATTTATTTTCCCATTAATTTATACTGGCCTAAAATTTTTAAACAAATGTGGTAAAAATTTATACACGAATATAATCTAACGTTAATTAAGCATAATGATTTGAATACGTGGCAGGTTCTACTATATAAATATCTAATAATTTTCTACTAAGTTCTTTAAAATGCGTTTAATAATATTTAGAAAAATTCTTTCATCAAAATGATTTATTTCTAGTTTTTTTTCAAAAATTAACATTTATAAAAGGGAGGTTTCTACGTATTCGATTTAGTAAACTTTTACGTTGGAGATTTTTGCCTAATTATGATAGCGGCCACGGAACTCATCGCTATCATGTGGATATATGGTAAACTTAGACTTTAAAATTTTTTATATACGTAAAATTTTTTTATATGAATGCGCATGAAGTTTATTTTTTTAATATAGATATAACTGTAACTTTTAAATTATCATAATTTCTCTTATAATATAGGTATCAAAAAATTTATCAAGGACATCGAAGTCATGTTAGGTCGTAAATTACCCCAAAAATGGTATTGGTATACCACCTGGTCTATCATGGGTCCCATTATTTTATTGGTAAACTACAAATATATGATTACTATCGCTGTTATCTTCTTTGCATTTTGTAGCTCGACCATGGACATTTAGACCATAAAAAATTCTATAATAACTTCTTTAGAATAATATTTAATTTGATAAGTTTTTACTGATCTTTTTAAAAATAAAATAAAAATATAACGAGAATATTCTATATTACTTTAAATATGAATCTTTGGATTTTTTTAATTAATCACCTTTTTCAATCTTCATTGAACAAAATAAGAATAAAAGGAAGATTATGTGACCAAAGAGAAGCGATATTTGAATATATATTGATAAATAATTATTAATTTATATTAGTTGATTTAGAACTTTTTTAATATTGATTTTTATCTTTTGTTTTATTTTCCAATTTTAAGATATTTCATCATACTTCAATCAAAAAATAATGTTTGCCTCTTTTTAATGATATTTTTTTGTTGTGTTTGTAGGCCATAGCTATCGCTTCATTATACGATCTAATTACGCAAGGAGAACACAAATTAGATAATTATGGTTATCCAGGATGGGCACATAATTTTGGTTGGACAATTATGACCCTCATTTTAGCCCAAATTGTTATAGTCGGGAGTATATACTTTTACCATCAACCTGGCGACCTTAAGGAGGTTTAGATATATAAATTTTTTAGAAAATTTTATGATTTATTAAAGTATTTAACATGTTCTAAGTGATATTTATTTGTTCGACGTTTTGATTGATAAATCTAGTATTGTGAAAACGGTTAGATTTAGCCTATTTTAAAAAAGGCCTAATCAAGATTTTAACTAAAACAATATTAATTAAGCCTCGAAAATTTCTTAATAGATATCTAAACGAACAACCCTAGATAGGGTTTTATCCCTTTAACTCATTTTATATGAAACAGAAATTAAGGCGCTCAAGTATCCCTGCTAAAGACTTCTGGTTGAATGATTGTGATTACAAAGATAAAGATTTTGACATTATGCTGAAGAATAAATTAGACTTAAGCTCATAATCTTTTTTTTAAATTTTTTTTATCTCTTTTAAAAATTAATTTTTGATTGAATTTATTGTTTATTTTTGATAATATTTAACATTTTTTCATATATATTTTAGAAATGTTGTTGAAATTTTTTATCTTTTTAAATATTATTTATAATAAAAAAAATTTACTATTTTTTAAAACTAAAGGTAAAAGCGTAACTTAGTATTAGTACCTAGCTCAATATCAGAGCTTGTGTGTTAAAAAATAATCTATTGTAATCTTTTATAATTTCACCATCATCTATCTTAATTTGGTATCACATATCGAAAATACAAATCTAATTGAATATTTTTTAGGTAAGCTGAAAATAATTCCCCGGAAAAAAATTCCCATAGAAAATTATTCCCTGGAAATAAATTCTCCATTTTTTAAATTTTAAATTAAATATAGGGAAAAATAAGTCTCTAGAAAAAAAACCGGAAAAAAAGTTCCTGAATAATTTTTTTAAATTATCAAATATAATCCTGCCGCTAAAATAACGAAAATATTTCTAAAAAATTATATTAAGTATTTTATGAAAGGTGAGTATTTATTCTCGACGTTTAAGGATTTTTTTTGAGCATTATTTCTCTTCTAATTCTAAGCGATATAGGGCAATCTTTAAATGTGAAAATTGATAAATCAGTTGGTAGCTTTGATACTTTATAATTTAATAGATAGCATAAAAAGTAAAAAGTATAGATTTGTGACATCTTGGAAATAAAACATGATAGATTTTTATAGAAATAGATGAAGTATGGAAGAGGTTTTACAATTTAAAATTTGAAAAAAGTGAAAACACTTTTTTCTAGAAAGAGGGAAGTTATTTCCATAACATACTTTTCATCTAGATTTCAATAAATACTATGAAAACAGATCATTTACCCACATTATATTTACCAGGAAGAGGGGGGGGGGGGTATTTCCAACCAACACGCCACTAAGGTTAAAAAGATATATATAACATTAAATATGAATATTAGATCACTATTCTGCTCCGTACATTTAAATTAGTCTGATCTCGAACAACAAAATGGAAATTTTTTATGTTAATATATTGATTTTTTGAATTGTATCTGATTATAAATTTTCAAAAAAGTATTGATCCAAATCACTGGTTACAAGGGCTTATTTTAAAAATGGTTGAAGACCTTAATCTAAAGAATATCTTTGAAATAACCAAAAAATATACTATTTATTCTAAAAAATATTCATTTTTTTTTAAATATTATAATTTTAAATATATTTAATTCATTTAAGAAAATACAGGATTGACTATAATCTTAAAATAGAAGCTTATTTTATCTGAAAAATTTTCAACTCCGGAAATGTTATTATATAATCCCAGTTTGTTCCTTGATATTATTTATAACGTTGAAAGGAAATTTAAGTTCAAGAATAAGAATAAATAAATTTATATATTTGGTAGTATATTGTTTGTAATTTTGAATCAAACGATTTACATTTTGTTATTTTAATACTTTTTATAAAATTTACTTTTACTTTTACATTTTAAATAATTATTTTCCGAAGAATTTTTTTCCGGATAGTTATTTTCTGTGGGAATTATTTTTCAAGGGGATTTTTTTTCGGAGAATTATTTTCCGAGGAATTTTTTTCCGACGAGTAATCTTCAGGGGAATTTTTTTTAGAATTTTCTTTCCGAGGAATTATTTTCCTAGATTTATTTTTTTTATACACTAATAAATTATAAAAGTATCAATGCTAAAACTAGAGCCATCGAGTTTAATTTTAAAACAAAAAATATTTTTTTATAAGAATGTGATTTAAATTTTCAATTTCAAATATTCCAAATTTCAAAAAAATATGTTTGAAATAATATAAACTTAAATATTAAAAAAAGGTGGAGGGGAATCAAAAAATTATTTTTAGGTAGAGCCGAGGATGAAGATAAAATTAGACCTACATCTCTTAAGAGATATACTTTGTCTTTGATATAAATTTTCTTTAGGAGATGATAATTTTTTTTTATATATTTCGTTTATTTAATTTTTTTTATTATAATTGCTTTAGTATTTGGATATTTTTCGGCAAAAGTTAATTCCGGTTTATTATTGTACTATTTGGTACAAAGAACTGCCAGCCTCTTATTTTTGATCTTGAGACAAACCAATTATGTATGGGTGCCAATCCTGCTTTCATTATTCAATTTTAAATCTTGATACCGACTTAAGAAATATTTATATTTTGCTAATAACTATTCTTTATTAACACTATTTATAAAACGTTTTGAAGGATTAACCAAAATATATACGGAAATAACATTACATAGTGGCCTAATTTTTAGAATTAGTATACATTTTTAAAAGTTGGGAAGCTTCATATTCAGGAGTTCATCATAATAGGAAATTCAATCACACCAAATTTTTGAAAATTTAACTAGATTTACATTATAATGCGATTTTAAATATTATATTTCAATATCTATTAAATAAACTGAAAGAGTCAACTATTTCTATAAACATCGTAGAATTAATAAATTCAAAAATATTGAATAGGGAAAAAAGAAGCCTTGATGTATTTACTGTTTAGAGTAATAATTTTTGAATCGTAATTTAATCTGATAATTAAGACTCAGCCTAAGGCGGGCCATTAGTTCTTATTTCGTTTATAATTGTTTTCAGTTTCTTTATTCGAAAAATTAATAAATATTAACCAGACACTAAATAATAGCGCAATCCAGATATCGGTTACGGTCCGCAATTGCTATTATTAAAAAATGTTAAAAAAAGCAAATAAGCTAAAATGGCTGTCAAAATGGTCCTTAGTGAGAGATTTATAATGGAATTGTTGGTATCGGTCCGATTCATTTTTCTTTCTTTTGTCATCAAACCATTTGGAGTCAAATGGCAAATTATTTTTCCTAAAATTATAAAATTATATTTTTGTAGAAAATTCTAAAATTAATATCGGCGCTTGGAATCGGAATCTTTCTCGCATCCTTACATTTATAGGGTAGACATAAATAAAGCCAAGAAAATTATAAATACAGTACCTCAAGGCAAAGGTAATTGGTTTTAATTAATATTTACATATTAGTATTAGTAAGATTCTATCTTAGTATTTGCAAGATTCTATCTTAGTATTAGCAAGATTCTATATTATTAGAATATATTTTTCTGAACAAGGCCAAGGTAATTAGTTTTAATGATGTATGGCAAATTTTTTTTTCTAAAATTTATCATATATCTTTTATAATTTTAACAGCATTTGAACACATGGATAAAATTGGGAATATTTATATTTAATAAGAAATAGAACATTAGACGAACAATAATTATTTTGAGTGGAAGAAGAGGAAGTATTTTACAAAATTATTTTTAAATTTTATTATAAATATTTAATCAAATTTTTCTTAATATATTTTTCCTTAAGTCACGACATTAGTGCCTCCTTTGATAAATCCTCGACAAGAAGTTGGAGACAGTGATGTGGGGAATTCTGGGAACTTGTTGGAGGAAAGTCAAATGTTCAATCCTCCACAAGATGTTGGAGACAGTGATGTGGGGATTTCTGGGAACTTGTTGGAAGAAAGTCAAATGTTCAATCCTCCACAAGAAGCTGGAGACAGTGATCTGGGGATAATTTGTACTTTAAGTTTGTTCATAATTGCATAATGCTCTTCTTTAGATTTATCAGGATGGTGGTGAATATGTTTTAATGTAAATTTCTTTTTATTACAAATTCAATTATTTTTTAGATATTTTTATTATTAATTGTAAAAAATGCTAACATATAAAAATTGAATTTATTATTTTTTGGGAAAGTAAAATTATATTGAAAGTTCTATATTTATATTGAGATTGAATTATGTTATACCTGTGAGGAAAAGATTGGTGAAATGGATTACATCTTTTCCATCTATGAAATTTTTTTCTCCATATTAATTAAGTTGTAGTTGTTTTAAAATGTCATATTACTATTTATTATATTTTAATAAAGGATATTTTAAATTTTATTGTCATTTGAGAAAATCCATAATTTATAAAATTTAAATTTTATTATTCAAATTTTTTTGTATCATGTCCATCTAAACAAGTATAAGGAAGGAGTTAATTGATAAAAGAAATATAAATTTTGAATCCTTATTTTATTCAAATAATCATTTTTGAATATATATTGCTGATTTTTTTAACTAAAACAATTGATTAATTTATTATTAGACTTTTATATGTCTTGGTCAATCATACGTTTTAATTAAATAGATTAATAAATTAATCCGGTAACCGATAGATGTTCAACCCTAAGTATGATCAGAATAAAAATTATAAAATCTGCCTTCTAAAATATAAATATTTATATAATAATTTGTGCTGTAAAGTAATGTAAAAAAAAGTAACGTAGTTACTAACGTTGTAACCTTGAATTTTATTCATAAAAATATCTATTTCAGAGGTGATTATAAGCAGTGAATATTATGTATTTCAAATCTTACAATTATTATTTTGCTTATCAAATTTTTTTTAAATTTACAGATAAGAAATTATTATAATATATATATAAATGATATATAAAAAAATAAGTTATATTATTCAAATGAAACAATATGTTCTCCAAGAGAAAATTAGGTAAGTCTCTTCTCTCTTTTAAAAAATCACATAAATTTTTCAAAATATTTTGTTTTGCTTGGTATCTACGATTTTTTTTGGGAGTGTATGTCTGAATCCTACATTGGCCAATTTGTCCAGGTCGTCTGTTATTTCCATCATCATCTTTTCAAAATATTTTGTTTTGTATGTTATCTACGATTTTTTAGGAGTGTATGCCTGATTCCTCCATTGGCCGATTTGTCCATGTCGACGGTTATTTCCATCATCATCTTTTCAATTAGTTCCTATATCTTAGGTTTTTTGTGGAAAATTTATCATGTTTTCTTTCTTTTCCTGGAAATTATTTTCCTCTTACGATTATTTTTATTCATAATAAAATAGTGGCGCCACTATGGGTAGGGTGAAGAGTATGTTTACAGAATAATTTTTTTTTTAAAGTTAAAGAATAAAAAAAACATTTTTTTTTCTATATACAAACAGGCAACGCTGTCATTCCCTTAGTTGTGAGGATTTAATGAAACATGTTATCTTATCCATATAAAATTATTTCTTTGCAAAATAATTAAAATAAAACACTTGGAGACAATTATTTTTATTTATGTACGATTTCATATTTTAAGAAAAGAAAAATAAAGAAATAAAATTATCGATTTTCGTGTTTCAAGAGAAAAAAAAAATTGAAGTAAGTAAAAAAAAAACAGATACATTAAAACGTAGTTGTTTGTTGTAATACCTGAATGTTGTTTTCATAGTTAAGTAACTATATATAAACTAATAATTATATAAGATGATTTAACATAGTCTGGAAGAGAAGAAATAGTTAAATCAAACAAACCGCCAAAATCATCGCAATTTGAACAAATATTTGAATGCTTAGTTAGAAAATGGAATTAATGTAGAAAAAAATAATAAAGCCTACTAATTTATAATTAAATTTAAATGTATAATAAAATTTGAAAGATTAGTAAATGAGATTTATTTTTTCTTAGTTTACCCAAGAGTAGAACTAAGCAAATTCAATTTAATTAAATCATAACTAAACCGGATTAAAAGATTTTTTATCCCGAAGCTGACTTGCTTGCAGGGCTATGCTATTTAAAAATTATAAACAACTCCGGGTCTGGACCCCCATATTTGAACCTCGGGTTTGTGCTTATAGCAGGCTTGAGCACAAACTTGGTTCGTAAATTTTACGACCAAGCAAATTAACAACACTTGTGCCAATCATTTTTAAATTTTAGACGCAACATGGCTCGAATTTTCTACAAGAGCTTGGAGGGGAAAAGTTACTTCAAAATATATTTTTTTATCTGCCTGATTGATTAAATTTGAGGAGGCAGCTTATAATATTCGTTTTTCTCTCCCTTTTCTCATTATATACTATGTGTCCGCTTTAGACTTTAAATATTCTTAAAAATATTTAAAAATTAAAAACATTTAATTGTACTATAAAATTATTTATTTTATATTACTGTTGATATTGAAATAACGATGTACACTCTAAAATTATTTTAAAAATTACATTTTCTAAGTGTAAGCTATTATGGAATAAAATGGGGGCAATCTTCAAACTCTGCAGCCATTTTTAAGGGAAGCATGGGAAAGAAGGAAATTAATAGATAGTCATATTAAGGATAATTGCATATGACAACTCTTATGAAATATCTGAATTACAAAGATTTTCAGATAAAGACAAGTCGTTCAATGCGCGTTTCTTTTTAAGGTAACCGTAACGGGTTCCCTTTTTCAGATGTAACGAGTAACTGTAACGCGTTTCTTTTTTGTAGTAACGTTTACAGCACTAGAAGTAATTAAAATATTTTAATATGATATACTGGATTTTATTAACTTTTCAATTTTTAACTATCCACTTAAAGATCTTCATAAATATATATACATTCCACTAACAATGTAAAATTTATTTTTGGGTTCAGAAATTTCAGATTAAATTGATTTTTTTATAAATTGTGTAGATTGATTTTTATTATATAAATTTTTATATATTAATATGAAAATTATTATATAAACCTGATTTTTTTAGTTTGATAAAAAAATGTAAAATTTTAAAATATATTATATAAAATTAAATTATTAATTTAAAATAAAATAAACAATCTTTATATTAGAAAACTTTATGGTTACATTTTTTTATTTAGAAAACTCGTATCATTACATCATTTATCCTAAAAAACTTTATGGTGGCAGAACTTTATTAATTATAAATTAACCAATTATTTTAGCGAATTTAAATACATTCTTCCTATATTTTATTTTATATTAGTTTATATATAATTAAGGTTTTTAATAATACTTTATTTATATATTTAAATATTTTATAATATATTGCATAAATTATCATATAAATATTTTAATTAATATTTAAATATTACTATATATATATTTAAATATTACTTTATATATAATTTAATATTACCTTATATTTATATTTAAATATTTTATAATATATTGCATAAATTATCATATAAATATTTTAATTATTTATATTTAAATATTTCTTTATATACAATTTAATATTACCTTATATATATATTTAAATATTACTTTATATATATATTTAAATATTACTTTAGATAAATTATTTATTAAATATTACATATATAATTTAATATTTTAATTATATATTAAATATTACTTTATATATAATTTTATATTACCTTATATATTATTTAAATATTACTTTAGATATATATAAATATTTTATATTTAATTAAATATTCATAAATATATATTGCATAAATTATAATATAAATATTTTTTATTAAATTTAAATGTTAAATGTGTCTTGTTTGTATTCACATTTCGGCCCCGAACCGAATTGTTACATGGTAACCAAAATATTGCAATCTATCCATTCCACAATTATATAAGCTTCATAAATAGTTGGCTTTATATTAGATCTAGGAGTCTCTATTAATTTTATTCATTATAAAAAATCTTATATCAGTAAGTTGGGTAAATTTTAATTAAGAAATGATTAGTGTTTTATTTTGAGAAGTATGTGAAACTAATGTTGATAAATAGGTATCTAATAATCTCATATTTTAGCTTTAAGTTTCAGTCATATACCTCTTATATATTAATATTACAAATTCTACTCCATTTTCCATTTTCATAACATTAAATTATTTATTAAAATTAAAACAAAATAAAATCTTACAATGACTTTTACAAATATATTAAATCTTATAATATATTATAATTATATATCAAATAATGAATTAATGTGAAGTCATATTTTCATAGTAAAAAATAATATATAATAACAAACATTGATACTCAGTATACACATATAATTTCATTAAATAATCCCACAAATGAAGAAAATATAATTTTTAAAATCAATATTAAATGTAAATAAAATTTTATAATATTAAATACAAAACAATTCTATAAATATTAAATGCAAAACAATTTCATCATTCATAAAAGGGAGGGTGAGCCTGATTAACCAAATAGTACATGTCATAAACTAATTATAATAGTTTGTTCATTTTAAATAACATTATAAATAATAATTCATATTTTACTTTATATCTTTTTTTATCCTAAGAGGTTTAATTAGTTATTGCCAACAGTTATTGATAAAAAAATATTTGAAGGAATTATTTCCAAAAATTCTTAATATAATATTTAAAAATTATAAATTGAGCAATAAGCTTAAGATATTTGAGCATATAAATTTTAAGCTTAAGCGAAAAGTTAAGCGAGAAAATACCTAATTATAACTTAAAAATAGTAAAGGCGGTACGATACGCCAGATATCTAGTTCTTTGATATTTTACATTCTGGCATCAATTTTTAATTTTTCCTTATTTTAATAATAACATTTTACAAACGGATTAAATAAGTATGTAATTATGCCCTAAACATTGGTTATATTTATAGAATAAATGCTTCTAGACGTTTTTTAATCGTAATGCTCTCAAAAATTTTGTCACTAATTTTTTAACTTTATACTAATTAAGATCTCATAGGAACTCATAAAAAATTGCATAGAAGTGTGCTTTCAACTATTCAATCAACTTTAAAGGAGGTGATATAAAAATATTACATATTTAAAAAATAAAAATAAAAATGAGCGCGAGGTAATCCAAAATGCTTAATCAATAGTTGTCATGGACGGGACACGACAGAATGCCTGG